AAAAAAACAAACTTTTTACGAAAAAAAGGGGACTAACATTGAATGTAGAAATGGATTCATTAACCATTGGTAACTGTGGGAAAATTGTTGTTTACCCCAGAAAAATTCATTTTTTGGCCAAAATGAACAGTTGTTATCCTTTTAAATTTTGCCTAATTTTAATTTGGAACAAGCATTCAGTCTGGAAGTGTTGACATGTTATTTGGCAAGCAAAAAATAATGGCTGTGTTGTATTCCTGTTCTTGCATACATTTTAGTTTCCATATTTTTGTAGGAGGTAACAACTTTCTAGCTAACTTCCTAGCCAAAACCAAAGATATCAGTCCTGATGAGAGAGCAAAGAAGTTGGAAATAGACCCAGTAAGTACTGATGTGGGTGTGATGGTTGCATTTTTTCGGTCAACATATTTTTGAATACTTCATGATATGTCTCTGTCCCTTTTAAGATGTGACTGAGGAAAACATATGAATGAAGAGTTAAGTACATGAATACGATAGATAACAACTTTCCTAGCAGGGATGAGCTCAATTTTCAGAGACTTTGGTTATGACAATATTTGTAGTATGAGAGTCAGTAGTCTTATGTTAACTGGCGTGTTGTTGCCAACAATGTTTGCAGAACAGAAATGATTACCTGAGAGTTATATAAAAGTTAAAACCAAGTGTTTATTTCAATTGAAGATTGTCACTGCCAAAGTGGTGTATTTAAATGTACTACTTCTATCATGATGTAGAATTGTATTATGCCCTCATCAAGGCGTCTACAGTTTTCATAAAAAAAGGGTCTCATTCCCAACGTTCTGAAAGCCCCATGTTTAACCAACTCTTTATGTCTTTATAGAAACACCCCATATTAACTAGCATAACGTTTTCATCAGTAAACATCTACAAACTGGATCTCCTCAAATGCAGTATTTGGTAATGTATTGAGAATATAGGATTTCTGTTCTTTTACCAAGTTTAGATAATGCTTTTATTTATAATGTTATATTAAGATTAAAATGTCCAGGCAAAATGATCACTATAATTTATTATTTGTTACTCAGGACATAGGAGCAGCCCATGAAGCAAGTGCACAAGAGGGCCAGACACAGGTACTATAGGGGGCCAAGCTTTTGATGGCCTTCTTTCTTGTCTGCTTGTATATTTGACACCATATGAAGAGCGAATACATCTGTCTGTGTTTAGTTGTTTTTTTAAATATATATACACTGCACAACAGAACCTAGAATGATTTGAAATGCTGCAGTTTACTGTATTGTATATGAAAATATTTGCCATGGGATAACAGATATCTGATTTTTTGTTAAGCATACTTTAATTTGTAACACCAGTTCACAAGATAGACATGCTCGGTGAATGATTTAACTACCTGTATTTTTTACTTGAAAAATAACAGTCCTGTTAATATTAATATGCTTTATGTAAAATTCTAGCCACCGCCAATAGATGAAAAAGTCGACCTCCATTTCGTGACCTTTGTTCATAATAATGGTGGTCTCTATGAATTGGGTAAGTTCTAAAACATGGTGATATAACTCGTCAGTAAAGGAAATATTATGAATGAAAAATCTGTGTTCACCATTAATTCTGACCGTAGTATGATTTTACATGGTCCACTGTCTTCAGTGTGGTATCTGAGACCCTAATTGTGTTTGTTGTGCCTTATTGTGTAAGCTGAGGCTGATTGTGATAGGTGAGACCCAGATTGTGACAGTTGAGACAGTGTTATAACTGAGCCTCTGATTGCGTTAGGTGAGAACCACGTGTTCAGCATAGTGATACTGATAAACTGATTGCTAAATGTTGACAAACTTCAGTCAGATTCTTTGCAGCAAAAATTGCAAGGTATTGATAACAGGTACATAAAAAGTTCATAATTTGAGTTCATAATGGTAAATCGTCCATCTAGATGCTTACTTGATTTCATTGGATTTTTTGTTTCTTATGCAGATGGACGTAAAAATGCTCCCAAGCGTCATGGCAACACTACTGCAGATACTCTACTTGAGGTAACTGGTCTGTTATTAGTTATGAATTAAGACATGATTTTATTGATGTTTGCATGTGAAATAATAAATTATGTTAAGGACACTTTTATTCTTTTCAACTTGGTTTGTATTAATGGATGGTAAGAAAATTCTTAATCAGACACTTGAGATATTGGTAGGTCTGAAAGCATGGATTTTCATGTCCGCTTTTGTTATAGAAGAGGGATTGTGGCATGATATTGAAGTGAGTCTTTAATCTAGTCTAAACTGCAGTTGAGGAAATTTTCTCTAGTTCGTTGATAATAAGCTGCTTATTTTTTTATTTGCTCAGGATGCTGCAGCAGTGGTGAAGAAGTTCATGGCAAGGGATCCAGATAATATCCACTTCACTGTGGTTGCCTTGGCTAAGACAGATTAGATTGTGTTAGTTGTGACATCTGCTGTACCAGTGATTGTGCTTGCTGTGCCAGGAACCTGGTGAGATTGTGTCCAAGACTAAGATCCATGGAAATGGTTCTGATCAGTGTGCTGCTCATGTTTGCTGTCCTTCTTAAACAATATCAGCTCTGTGAGAATGTGATAATTTTAATACTGTGCATAATGGATAAAGTTTGAATATTGGATAAAGCTATGACCCATTATTCAAAATTCAAAACTACCAGTTGAGAAAAATGTTTTTGTGAGCAAAGCAGTCCAAATCATTCCATTCTGCCATTCTGTATTGTAAGGATTGTCGTAATGTGGGGCAAATCAAACATCTACATCTTTACAAACATTTCAGTAGGACCAATATTGAAGATCTGAATTTTGTAAATGCACAGGAGATGAAAACTGTTGAATTGTTATTATCAGTTAACTTGCATGCATGTGTCCACAGAAATTGGTTTCATATGGTTGAGACAATCAAACAATTCAAAAAGTCTAGTATTTGATCATGCTATCTAAATGAGCTGCTTTTCATTAAAATGAACATGCACTGTAGCAAAGCTGTGTATTAATTTTAACAACAGCTTATGACCACTTTACTGTACACACTTGGCATATAGAGCTCCATTGGAAGGTACCATGAGGTACGGTACCTTGGGAAGGTACCATGGGGTACCATTGGAGATTCATGTTGTAGAGAGAGATCTCAGTGAGTGAAAATATGTTGCTTGTGTACTAAAGAAAAAGAATACGTAAAATGTGACTGCATCTTACTCATTGTTTGAATGTTGAACAGTATTTTCATGAAGCAAATGAATCTATTCATTGATATTGCCAAATGATGTGACTTGGTCACGCAGTCAACTATGTGTTATGTGCAATGAAATATGTTCTACAAATCAACTTTGTTTTGTTATCTCACTTAGTGTGAATGAGTTTAAGAAAGATTGGATGAGAGTGGGAATTTGGGTTTGGGAGACCTTTGTTTAACAACCCCTGGTGTTTGGAGTTTTGTGTCCAGTAGTGTCCTATAGAAGGTGTAATCACATGAAATATTGAGTAAAACAGTGTGTTACAATGAGGAACTATATCCAATGTCAACTACTTTGTTATTGCTCTCACGGAACCTGCCATTACAGAGGTTGACAATAAACTAGATGCAGGGGTTGGATCACTTGAGTTTTTATCTTCTTTGGAAAGGTCAACTATGGAAAAGATACAGGCCATGATCCCCAGCCACTATGTCAACTTCTCTCATGCATGATGTAGTGGAATGAAGTCCTACAGGAATGGTACATTAAGGGTCATTCTAAAATGCTCAACTTATAGCAGTACACTCTAGAAAACAACTCTGGATGCAAGTTAACACAGGAAATAGTCTTTCAAAAGAAATACATTGATATAAAAACAGTATGTAATGCTAGCTAAAAGCAGCTTGGTTAATGATACTGTTGACCAAACTTTACTAATCGTTAGTATTTGTTAATGAATTGTCAGGTTGTCCACCAGGGATTGGAGCTAATTAGTTGGCTGTCACCTTGATTGTTATTTTTATGATGGAATTGCTTTAATTACCTCAGCCAAGGAGGTTATGTTTTCACCCCTGTTTGTCTGTCTGTCTGTTTGTCATCAACATAACTTAAAAATTTTCAGGGTAGGTCAGAAATGGCTTAACTTAGAAGTGATTAGTTTTTGGTGGTGATCCAGATCAATAATAAATCAATAATCAATAATAAAAAACTAAGTTATGGGCCGATTTTGATGAAATTTTCAGGAACTGTCAGAAGTGGGCCAAGGAACAGATGATTATTTTTTGGTGGTGATCTGGATCAATAATCAATCAATAATCAATCAAAAAATTAAAAAAAAAATTAATCAGTAACCAAAAAAAAAAAAAAAAAAAATTAAATCATTATAGAATGAAAATTTAGGGGTGAAACAGCATTGGATGGAGACTTTGCTGCCTTGGTGGAGGTCTGTGCTCTCTGAGTGCTTTTTTTAGTTTTGGTTATGATGAAAACTGTTGAAAATTGTGCCAAAATTAAAACTTTTTGGTGCTCTTATTTTAAATGTTAAAATTTCCCTCTTGCTGATCCAGAAGTCCAGCTATAATATGAAAGTTGCCATCAGCATTTAGCATATTCATTATGTTATTATAATTCCTTATTTATTTATATATTACTTTACAGATCCACTTAACAATAGCACTGTGGCTCCTGAATTTCCTGTATATGACATATAAGTACAATTACATATATTTCTATGTTAATGGCACTAATCACATGATTGTGTATAATATTGCAGGAAGAAATACAGAGCACCTTCTGCTCCAGTTTGTTCTGAGGTACTGGCACTGGTTTTTATTTCCCATTTTATTATTTATTTAAAATTATGATCTTCAACCAAATCTTAGCAGTGTCCCAAACAATATAATGGACTATCACTGTGTGATGGTAATAGCAGCATAACTACAGTCTATTTTGATGTGAAAGTGGATTTTTTTTTTTGTGGATAGACTAAGACCCCAATCCCGTACCTAGATCAATATAGCAGACTCCACCCATCCCCAAGGGGTTTTTTTTGTTGTTGCTAAATTACATTCAGATTCAGCTCTTGTGTCTGGCACGCCTACTGAAGCTGTTAGGGGGTAATTAACTATCGTTTAGCAGCTCAGTTTGAATGCAATTAAGAGAGAATCCCCTCAGAGTTGGGTTAATCCTGCTAGATCGATATAGGTACGTATGGGGATGGGATCTAAGTCAGTGATGTGACTAACTGCTGAATAAACAGTTGTCACGGTCTCATCCTTAGTGTATTTTTCTTTTTCATCAGACTGTAACTCTGGCGATGTTGTTCGCAATAACAACAGCTAACATCAGTCTGACTGAAGCTGAAAGAATGTTATTGTTATTATTATTATTATTATACGTAGAAACATATATTGAAATTTACTGTGGAAAAACATCCTATTTTGACTATTTTTAATAAAAATGCAGTGAATATTCTTTTTTGACAAAAGTGAAAGGGTCCTCAGAGCACTTGATTTCATAAAAGGTAATTATGTTACCATTTTTGTGTTATTTCTATCAGATAATCTGGGAACCAATCTTTTGGAAACAAGACTTTGATGAGATTACATAAAAAAATGCAGATTTTTTAATTGCCAATTAACAATTAACATGAGCCTTATGAAAATCAATAGGCTCCATCCTAATCATGATGTTCATCTGGATTCAACTTGAAATTCAAACATTGTATGACATCAAATGGTGGTGAACTGTGGGGTCACTGTGGAAACTGTTAGGTAAGACACTGATTGTGTTTGCTAAAATTGATTGTGTTAGGTGAGATACTGATTGTGTTTGCTGAAGTTGTGCTGGGTGAGACTGAATGTGTTCAACATGAATAAGATGTGATCTAAGGGGTTGTGATGCAAAAAAGAATATACGCTAAAAATTATGAATAATATATTTACCGGGAATATAATCACTACTGTCATATTCTTTTTGCATTTAAACAGGTAAGCAGTATATCATTGCCTCAGAATTTGAACTGAGAAAAAAGATGAAATAAAAAATGCCATGTCACCGTGTAAGTCATGTCATCCCACAACCACTAGCAATCAACAACATGGTGTGGTATTAAATGTGATTAAAATATTTACATATATTCAAATAGAATCACTGAGTACCATGCTTTTATCATCTCTCAATTAGAGAATAATTAATGAGCCTCATGTGTCACCACAATTCCGTCATGTCCTATAATAGCAGATTACTTCCTCACTTAAAAGCCACAGTTCATGGTTGATGCTGACTTTCAGTACACTGATTGTGTTGTCTCAGTATTTACTGTCTGGAAACAAAACTAAATTTGTGGTCAGGGAATTGACCACTTTTCTGTATCTGAACAGCTCAGTGATAGTACCCAGATCCTGTAGTGGTGGGTCTCCTGTTGATTTTATCTTGTGTGTGAGGGAGTCTGGTGATGGGGATAATATGCTTGTTATTAAAAGTTGACAAATCTGAATTCTTTTGTTTCTCTCTTAGTAATATTTCTAAGAGTGCAGTAACCTTGACCTCATCTACATGGTCTAAGTGATTTCTTTGCTTATTTCAACCATTCCTCTACACCTTATCATGTCAGTTTAAAAAATGAAAAGATATACAAAGGTCATTAATTGTGTATCTGTGAGTCAATGGGTTGTCTGTTTAAAGTGACTGCAATTTTAGAAAAAAGTTTCAGAGTTTGAACCTGTTAGAAAGAGGAAAGACTTGTGCTGGTAGAAAGTGATATTTTTCTAATCTTATTCACAGGTAGTTTACAGATTTTGTCATTGGTGCTACATTGTTGGTCATTTGGTAACTTTAATTTGTAGATACATTGTAATATAGAATTTTGTTTCATGTGTTTCAGCATGTAGGGGTCCCCCCCCCCCCCCCCCACACACACACACACACACCTTTGATATTTCCATACTTAGTTTTCTTTTATAAACTGAAATATTCAGAGAGAAATATATTCCTGAAGTCACCTCTTCCTCTTTCCATGAGTGGATGTGAAGACAGCAGGGCACCAGTTATGTTGTGGTTAAGATATAAATGTCCTTGATCTAATCTGGTCATATTTGTGGTTGTCCATACTAACCTGCCTGACCACAGCATGGTGTAAGTGACCACAAAGACTGCGTCCATCAATTTCTTTTAATAACCTCTGTGGAATGTAAATTGTCTTTTGGTATTATTGGATTATGATTGTTACTTGTTAAAATAAAATCAGATATCTATCTGATAAGTATCTGATTTATTTGTTGTGGCCTATGGGAAATTGGAAAATTAAATTTAGTTATGATATTGAGTATTAAAGGATTTTATCAGATTTTTTGCATCAACAATTGAATGGTATTGATAAAAGGTATTGAAAAATGGGAAAAAACTCACTATATATATATATATATATATATATATATATATATATATATATATATATATATATATATATATATATATATATATATATATATATATATATATAAATTCTTTTTAAGTAAATTTTCCATCAAGAAGTTTCTTGGTCTTATTTTTTAATTTTTATGCAGACAGCCACAATAATGCTCTCAAGCAGCCTGGCAACACTACAGGTAACTAAAGGTACAGCAGTCTAGAATTATTGGTTTGCTGTTAGCTATAGCAGTGAACATGTTCTAATCTATAGATAGTTACTTGGAGTTTGCATGTGAAATTAAAAAAAAGTACTTAATATATTCTTTTCATCTTGATTTGCCTTTAATGTTTGGAAAAAGAAGTCTTAAAGAAATGAGACACATATGAGATATTAATTGGTCTGAAAATCATGGATTTTCATAGCTGTTTTTTATCATAGAAAAAAAAGATGTGGCATGTTTATGAAATGAATTATCATTAGACAAACGTGCAGTTGAGAAACATTCTGTTGATCTCATAGATAATAAGCTGCTTTATTTTTTTATCTGCTCAGGATGCTGCAGCAGTGGTGAAGAAGTTCATGGCTAGGGATCCAGATAATATCCACTTCACTGTGGTTGCCTTGGCTAAGACAGATTAGATTGTGTTAGTTGTGACATCTGCTGTACC